GGCCGTCGATCATTATCGTCGTCGCAGATAGTAGAGATTCACGCTGGTATGACTGGTGATCGTTCGATACAATTGGTCTACTGTACTTCGAATTACTTCGGTCGAGGTCGTTCGGAGGGGCGAATGTTACTGTGTTACGATTGCACGGACAAGGGGCTGCGCGACATGGACCGTCAAACCCGTGAATTTTTTCTACCGTTCACCAATTGCGACACGATATTTCCATTCGTATGTCAAACTCCGTTATTATGGTTTTCGACAATCGGTCTGTTACTAGGTATGGCTATTTTTTGTGTTTCGAGATAAGCCCCGCGAGTCAATGCGTCGTCGGTCATTCGTCATACGCCTTCCTGGTAACAACCACCGTTCTTACATACAATTTTTTCGCCTATTTCTGTTTCGTGCTCGCGCTAGCATTCGTTCTGACGGTATTGTACAATCGAAAAGAGAGCTGCGACGACGACGACGACCGCGAACGTTCGCGATGCGTGCTTCGCAAATGCGATCAATGGTCATCGTCGCCGTACTTATATCGCGTCAATATCGACGAGACCAAACGTTCGAGAGCAATCACGTAGAACAATTTTCCATCTGGCAAGTATTCTCTATAGCGCTGCGCGTTGTGCGCGTACAGCTTGAAGTATTCGTCCGTCTCTGGATCTACGTTATTATCTCCGTCGTTGGAACGAGCGTCACGTTGTTGTTTTTCATCATTAGAGTCATATTCCACACGGGCCATGCAACTGTGAGAACTTCTTCGCCGCCGCCACTCGATTGTTATCGGCGGCGGCTGCGGTCGCACGTGATGACGAGACGGCGTTATCGTCGACGTGGAGTCCATGCACGGCGAACGTCACGTTCATTCGCGCAATTTCCGTAAACAGGTCGATCGCTTCAACGAGAGCTCAGGTGTTTCGAAAGAAAATTTCGACTCTTTCTTTACCCGCTCGCGCGTTTCGACGAAACGACGTCGCCGATATCACGCGTTTAATTTCTCGCTCAATAGTCTCACTATTATTATCACTATTTACAAAGACACCATCTTGTCGTCGTCGTACCACCGCCGCCATCGTTGATGACTATTTGTCGATACAATTCCGAACATCGTGCGTATTCGTACAATTTGTAATACGATGCGCGAGCGTACTCGTTGCAGAATCTCAACAGAGCCCAAAATTCGATGTTTTTTGCACTCCGTCGCGCATCACGTTATCGTAATCGTGAATGAAAACCGATTCGATAACTGCGAAACATCGCGCGGCGTAATCGTCGAAAAAGCAAAAACATTCGAGAGAAGCGCCGGCCGTCGACGAAGCTGCGAACAAAGAATTCGCGGCTCCGCTGACGTTCGACTTGTATCTGCTTTTTATACGCGCGCGTTTCGCACGTTCGTTGTTTTTCATCGAGTGTCATCCACTTTCTCGATCGATGAGAACACGTTTTCTCGACGCGGTGGTGCGATTCACCATGATCCGCTCGCGTTCGGCTCTATCGGCGGTGCGCTCGAACGAACGTTCATTTTGAAACGACAGCGCAGAAGCGTGGCTGTTTTCAGCTCCGATCATCAAACTGGCCACAATCAAAGCGCCAAAATTATCATGGCTTCGCCGTTGTTGCATCGACCGAGACGACGACGCGATAATAGCGTTATCGTCGCCGCTGCCGACTATCATCACGTCGTCGTCGTCGTCGACAGTAGCCGCCGTCGCGACATTATGTTTGACGGAAGAAGTTCCGATCGCTGTCGTGGACACAAGATCTCGACGGGATCCGAAATCTCTCGTTTCCGTGTGTCGAATGGTCCTTTTGTTCATAATGCGATCTTTACCTCTGCTAATTACTCCGTCGTCCAAACCGAGTCGTTCAATCTATCGTGAGAATTCTTCGCAACAATTCGTCGTGTCTTTCAAATTCTGACGAAGGCGCGCGACGATCTCTTTGTTTACTGTGAATTGAACTATTCGTAGAAAAAATAACGACAACGGTCGTTCTAACGTTTCGAAATCGTGGTTTTCTCGTCGCGGCCAGGAACGGTGACATTGGCGCTATCGTACGGAAGATCTCGAAATCTCCAGTGGATGATCGACAGGATTCCACCGTACGTCGTCTTCAACGACAGTGGTAACCGACGGTTCGAAGTCTTCCGCCACTCGGATTCTAAAGAGCTGTCGCGCAAAAATATCATTCGCCGACGCGTCGCTCCAAACACCGCCGCGTCGACGCAAGGACCGGTGATGATTTGGATCGTCGCTTCATATTTTCGCCAATAGATAGTTGTTCCGTTTCTCTCTATAAAATATTCAATGAAACGCGCAGTTTCGACAATGAACGCAGAACGACGAGACGCGTAGTGCGTGATAAATCATGAAAAAAATGAAGACGCGAAACGGAAGAGGAAATATGTTTTCTGCGCCCGGATTGCAAGACAGAATTGAAACAGAGTTCAGACGAAGATTCGATGACGATGCGACTTCCCGACAATACTTTAGTTTTGACCGAG